GTCATCCTGCCTGGCATAAAAGTAAACAAATATTTTTCCTGTAATTCTGAACACACAATTCACCCTTCCCCCCAGCTTGGCTGCCTGAAGGTCTACCCCCTACATAGCCCGAGTGTTTGGCAAACTCACTGAGAGGCCCAGGCATCGTGTAGATCACTTGACTGCAGCACAGAAACAGTGACTCAGAAGCAGGGGTGTGCAGGGAAAGAGGGACACGCACGGAGATGGTGCACAGCAGGCATGGAGGCACTGATGCGCCAGTTCTGACTTTGGTGGGTGCCTTCCTGACTCCTTTATCCACTGGAGGGGACCAGGCTCCAGCCCCTCGGGATCGCCAGATGGAACTGCCTGTGAATTCGTATTCTCTGGCAGCTTGACACCCTTTGAACTCTTTCTTGTGAGCGGTGATTGTACTGCCTAGGACTACCTAATTAGAACTTTCTACCTTGGCTGTCCACCCAGGGACCCTTCAAGGTTAAGCAAGTTATTTTGTAGAGGAGAGGGACAGATTCTCCTCCTCCAGCTGCTGCTGGTGACGGGCAGGGTGCCATAGGTGTTTGTATCTTTCCCCAGCTGAGATTCCAGCCTAATACTGGACTTGTTAGGATTGGGAAGAGGCAGGCTGACATCAAGACAGAGCCAGCTTACCTTATCTCAGCAAGCAGGTCCTTGGAGTCTCCGGATGCAATTCTGAAAGGGACCTTTATAAGGCTATAGGGGAAAAGCCCCAGTCACAAGGCCCAGCTCATTGGTAAAGGAATGGTTAGTCCCCCAATCCAATCTCACCCCACCAGTTGTAATTACCAAATTGCAGAAAATACTCATGGGGGACTATACCTAAAGCAAACAGGTAGCCTTTGAAATGGGAGATTTTTGCAGGTTGTGACTGTGACAAAAGTCTGATAACTAGAATCTCAGAGAACTCAAATTAATCAATAAGAAAAGAACAACCCCATTTCTTTGTGGGCAAGAGACTTGAACAGAAACTTCTCTGAAGATGACAGATGAATGGGCAACAAATACATAAAAAAAATGCTCATCATCTTTAATCATCGGAGAAATGGAAATCAAAACCACTTTAAGAAAGATATCATCTAACTCCAGTAAGATTAGCCCACATCACAGAATCCCAAAACTGCAAATGTTGGTGTGGATGTGGAGAGAAAGGAACACTTCTACACTGCTGGTGGGATTACAAACTAATACAG